GCCGCACGAGTGATGATTAGTGCTGCCGGTCTCCCGAAACGATATTGGGCGGAAGCTATCAACACTGCTTGTTACACGCAAAATCGAACCATGATCCATAAGCAGTACAAGAAGACGCCATATGAGCTATATAAAGGGAGAAAACCAAATATTGGTTATTTTCATATTTTTGGATGCAAATGTTTTATTCATATTAATGATAAATTGCATCTAAAAGCTTTTGATGAGCGTGCAGATGAAGGAATTTTTCTAGGATATTCGACTACCAGCAAGGCGTTCAGAGTTTTGAATAAAAGATCAATGGTGGTTGAAGAATCCATACACGTGGTATTTGATGAAAAATCACAGATCAAAAATGATGCACTGGACGAAGAAATTACACAAAATGGTAACAAGTGTCATATTGATTTTTGTGATACTAATGATACGTGTGAAGATGATGTTTTGCAGGGAATGGATAAGTTGGAAATTAATTCCCTAGAAAATCCCATCCCTCATCTAGAACAAGTTGGAAATTCTTTTAATAATAATTTTGGGAGTGATGCCTCACGTGAGAATGAGGATGCAGTACAAGTTGGTGATCCAATTAGTGATCAAGTTACTGGTGAAGTTTGTGGTCAATTACAAAATGAATTAAATGTGGAAATTCGAACCAACTCTCCTAGTACACAACAAATGGATCCACCCAGTACCATGCACCCATTTGAACCAGATTTAAGATGGCTCAAAAATCACCCTCCAGAATTAATTATTGGGAATGTTCATGAAGGCGTGAAAAAAAGATCATCTACCATGGAAGCATTGTTCACGTGTTACCTATCTCAGATTGAACCAAAAGAAATTGACGAAGCTCTCAATGATCCGGATTGGATAAACGCTATGCAAGAGGAGCTCGATCAATTCAAAAGAAATGATGTTTGGGAACTTGTTCCAAGACCGGCGAACCACAATGTTGTAGGAACCAAATGGGTCTTCCAGAACAAAGCAAACGAAGAAGGCGTGATTGTTAGGAATAAAGCAAGACTCGTTGCAAAAGGATACTCTCAAGAAGAAGGAATAGATTTTGATGAAACTTTTGCACCGGTGGCTCGACTTGAAGCAATCAGAATTTTCCTAGCCTACGCTGCACACAAAGATTTCACCGTTTATCAAATGGACGTGAAAAGCGCATTCTTGAATGGTCTACTCGAAGAAGAAGTTTATGTCGAACAACCCCCAGGTTTTGAGGTAAAAGGCGAAGGTGATAAAGTCTACAAACTTAAAAAGGCATTGTATGGGTTGAAACAAGCACCTAGAGCTTGGTATGATACTTTGTCAATGTTCTTAATAAGCTGTGGATTCACCAAAGGCCTTGTTGACAAAACTCTATTTAGAATTCAAGATGGTGATCATATTTTATTAGTGCAAATATATGTTGATGATATTATTTTTGGAAGCACTAACAATTCTTTGTATGAGAAATTTTTGAAGCTTATGCAGAATAAATTCGAAATGAGCATGATGGGTGAATTGAATTACTTCTTGGGCTTACAAGTCAAATAACTGAAAGAAGGAGTATTCATCAATCAAGCAAAGTACGCCCAAAGATACAAAGACCACTTCAGAGCTGATCAGAGAAGCCGTTCTACACCCAAATATTCCCACTCAACGTAAAACCAGAGGAAATATCAGATGAAGTTTGGGAGCTCATTTACATGGAGATGAAACTCCATCAACGGCTAGCTTATCATTTTCTGACATTTTTGCAGAAGATAAGATAAGATCTCTGACAAAAGATACAAGATTTAAAAAATGAGAGCGTCTCTTTCCAACGGACAGATTCTCATTACCAGCTATAAAATGATGAAGATATGACGACTTGAAGATGGGGAACTTACAAACAAGAGAGCAGAAAATTCGAAACTCATCAAGAGATCGAATAGAGCAATTAAGCTTGAAAAGAGCATAGAGCAAAAATCTCATTTGGTACAGAGCATACCAAAAATCTTCAAGTGAGAAGTGAGAAATGAAAAAGAACTCAGAGAGCTTCAAAAGAGAAATATTCTGAGAGTTCTTAAACAGAGCAAAGCAGAGCAAAAATATCAAGTGATATACTTGATATATTCACAGAGAGAAAACACTCAGAGCTATCAAGAGAAATCATTCCAGAGTGTTTATCTTCATCAAAGAGACCTGCGCATCATTGAAGATCATCTACAGAGTCTCAGAAGTTGGAAGCAAGACAACACTTGTTTTGGAGCAAAACAAGAGAAGGGAGGAAAGTAGCACGGAGCTGTGAAATCCTGGATTGTCACACGGAGCTGTGAGATCCGAAGCAGCAGTGTCGGAGGCACTGGGCATGATTGGTGTGGGCTTGGTGATCAAAGCACCAGATCACGGGATACATTTCTACCGGAGTGTGGAAGACGGGGGGAAAGTAACGCGGAGTCGTGAAATCCTGGGATAGTAGCGCGGCGACGTGAAACCCGAAGCAGCAGTGTGGTGTCACTGGGCGTGATTAGTGCGGGCTTTGTGATCAAAGCACTAGATCACGGAAATTCATTGTATCTTGGAACCAAGGAGTGGTAGATATAGTGAATTGCTCTTGGAGATAAGAGCAAGTGGAGTAGGAGGATTACACCACCTCGCGAACCACTATAATTGTCTTGTGTTCTTTACTGCTTTCTTTACTTACCGCTCTTTACATATTCGCTCTACACGAGATATACTGCTCACACAATCTCACACACACTTTATGTTTATTTATTTCCGTTGTGCACCATACTCTAACAATCTAGTTAAGAGTTTTGGTTTATCTCTGGCTTAGCAATTGTTGTGCTGTGCGAAAAAGTTTGAAAGTCTATTCACCCCCCCCCCCCCCCCTCTAGACTTTCACCTTACCTCTTTTGGGACCAACAGTTGGTACCGTTGGTAGAAGACACAAATAATAATCAAATTAAAATCGACTATTATTTTCTGGAAAGAAGGGAAGAAAAGATGAAGAAATTTGGCTAGTGTTTGGTGTTGGGTTTTTGCAAGAGTCGAGTGACCCCTCTTTCCTTAAAACCTTATTTGCCACCTCCCAAAAGATGCTAGGAGCGTTGTGGCCTAGGCTTCCCAGGATAAAACTTGCTATGATTTAGTGTTTTAGCATTCAAACAAAGAATACGGCGAGCAAGACGTGGTTATGAACACAGTATGGCTAAGAAGAGGAGTAGAAGCAGAATTTTGAGGCTGGAAAAACAATGTTTCGTGCAGTGTTCTTGCTGTTCTCACTGTGTGTAAAACTCTACTGCCTCTACCCTCTCTTATATAGGGTTGAAGGAGCCAATAGCCTTTATTATGACAATTAAAAATGACATTAAAGCTGTCTTCCAACAGCTATAACAGCAGGCCACTACCTGGGAATTGAATTTAGAATTCAAAGTTGGAATTAATAGACAATTAATTCCATAACATATGAATTCAATCCCCTCAACAGTCACAACTTTCGGGTTCCAGACCGTTAGCGTGCTCTCGGTTCACTGTGTGTAAAACTCTACTGCCTCTACCCTCTCTTATATAGGGTTGAAGGAGCCAATAGACTTTATTATGACAATTAAAAATGACATTAAAGCTGCCTTCCAACAGCTATAACAGCAGGCCACTACCTGGGAATTGAATTTAGAATTCAAAGTTGGAATTAATAGACAATTAATTCCATAACAGATGAATTCAATCCCCTCAACAGTCACAACTTTCGGGTTCCAGACCGTTAGCGTGCTCTCGGTTCGGTGGCTATACCAGTTGGAAAATGATACCGAAGTTTGGCATAACTGACATTCGTGCCCCCAGGTGCTCGGGCTTGAATCAAGCCTTTTTCAATCTCTGAAAGTTGGAATTTGATTTGCAACTACCCCCCCCCCCCCCCCCCGCGCGAGAGAGCCTCTATGCTATACAATTCTACAAGCTTCAAAAGAGCTCTTGTATATAAGGGGGGAAAATCTTCATTCCAAAGCAATGTGGGACAAAAGCACACTTTTTCCCTTCATTTTCCAACTCAAATGGGTCTACTTTGAGAATCAATATCTCATTCACCCATTATCCGTTTTGAGCGTACAATATATCGATTTCTTCGTCTCACTACGAAGAAATTGAATCCACTTTGACCCAACCCAAATCGGAAGTGGACCCCACTGATAATTGTACCACAAAATAGCCACTTAACATGCCATTTTATGCCATTTTAAGCTATTTTTTCCAACAAAAACCACATGTCATCACTCCATACTTATTGGAAACTGTTTAATAAGCAGCACATCTCGTGGGGCAAAAAGTTGTTGAATGAAATCATCTTTCCACCCATTGGTGGAATTATCAATCAGGTCTGAAACCAGAAAGTCATGATTCATACCCGACTGACTAAACCCCACATAGGGATCATGTGCATTAGGGAGCCAAGATGAGACCAAACCCTAGTGCTCTTGCCATTCCCAATTCTGCGCCTGCACCCGGATCTGAGTAAAGCCTAACTTGCCATAATACTCCTCCAAGTGTAACTCGGGTTACCACCCTTAGAAGCTTCATAAAACGTAGTAGCAGGGTAATACCTGGCTTTGAAAACCCGAGCCATAAGAGACCCCGGGTTGGTTAGCAGACGCCACCCCTGTTTACCCAATAGCGCAAGATTAAAATCATGCAGGCGCTTAAAACCCAAACCTCCAAACTTCTTTGGCGCGCACATTCTGTCCCAGGCCATCCAATGAATGCTACCCTCCGTGCCTTTCTGCCCCCCAGTACCTGTTCATCAATCTTTCTAGAGCATTACATAAAGTTTTAGGAAGTAAATAAATGCTCATCGTATAAGTAGGCATTGCCTGAGCTACACTTTTCAATAGCACCTCCTTTCCTGCCCTGGATAATAGTCTCTTATTCTACGAACCAAACCGTTGTTTCAGCTTCTGCTCTACATAGGCAAAGACCACCTTTCTATTCTTGCCTAAAACAGAAGGCAAACCAAGATACTTACCAAAATCATCAGCCTAGCCAACAGCCAATGCATCCGCCACAAGGTCCCTATCCTCCACATTTGTATTACGGCTAAAAGTAATACTAGACTTTTGGAAATTAACCGCCTGACCCGAGAAAGACTCATAAATACCCATAAATTTCTTTACTTCCAATGCTTCCTGCAAGTTAGCTTTAAAGAAAAACAGACTGTCATCTGCAAAAAAACAAGTGTGAGATAGATGGTGCCCCCTGGCCACTCTACAACCATGTATTAGCCCTTTTTGCCTACGAGTCCTGCAACAACAATGATAAGCCTTCAGCACAGATAATAAATAAATACGGAGACAAAGGATCTCCTTGTCTGAGTCCCCTCGTCGGTACTATTTCCTCAGTTGGTCTTCCATTAACCAGCATCCTGTACCGCACAACTAATTGATTTTTTATTAGCATCCCTGGTATCTAGGGTTCCCGATTTTCATCACTGGTTTCTATGGTTTTCAACGGCGACGGCCATCGGAGCTTTCTACTGGTTACGTGATTGCGAACAGACGACATGGATGTTCAGGGCATTATTGATAGCACAGCTGATATCACTTTGGAGGACGAGGACCTGGGGGTCCGTTTTGAGGATGAGCCGGCGGGGGGTGTCGACCATGGCGATGAACGACAAACGTGGTCTGTAGTCGGCCGGTTCCTGACTAATCGGAATCTGAAGGTTGAGATGATGAAGAGGGTTATGGTGTCTGCATGGCGTCCGCTGATGGGGATAGAGATATCTGATGTTCAGCCTGGGCTCTATTTGTTTACGTTTTTCGATGAGGCGGATCGGTGCCGTGTCCTGGAGGAAGGGTCGTGGGCCTTTGAGAATGCATTGTTCCTCTGTCAACCTCTTGAGGGGGATGATAATCCTGCGCAGTTGGAATTGAACACTGTTGATCTTTGGGTGCAGGTGTTCATGGGTAGCGTCATTAAACCACAGTCATCCAAAGCCTCTCCAAAACCCTCTATCAAACCATCTGGATGTGGCAACCTGCCCCTCTTCCTTTTTTGTTTACCCTTCTCCTAATATAATTTTTAAGTAATCAATTTCAACACTAATATACAAATCTTATAATTTCAAATAAATATACACTTTCAAATATTAAATTTTTTTTTATATATAATGCCATCATTAATATATATATATATATATATATATATATATATGTGTGTGTGTGTGTGTGTGTGTGTGTGTGTGTGTGTGTATATTCAAATGAGGACAAGTATATTATAGAGGACTGTGAGGACAAATGTAGTGTGTGTCATTAACCGGTATGTCGTGTGCATGGCCGAATGTAGTCGTGTGCCACAGTTTGTATGTCGCGTGCTAGATTTGTTAATTTATAGAGCCCGGGTTCGAAACATGATATTTACATATATTTTTGTGTGCCATTATGTATTAAGTTGTGTGCCTGGTATTAATTTGTTGTGTGCCCATTATTTGTCCTCACAGTCCTCTATATATTGTTGTCCTCATTTGAACTCAACCCTATATATATATATATATATATATATATATATATATATATATATATATATATATATATAAATTTTAACTGTGCATGGGTAATTTATTGGTTATATATATAACATGTTATCTGCTATAAATGGTCCTTTACTTTTTACATGCTCTTAAGATGAAATTGCAGTACTAGTTCTATTGATGAATCATCGTTATAAAATTCACAAATAATTGTTGCAATTACATAACCCAAAATTCACCAAATTAAATAACATAATTCTTGTCAAATTTCTTGTCCAAATTCAAAAACATTAGTTTGTTGCTCTAAAAAGAATAATGCACGTAGGTGATATGCTATTGATTCACAGTAACTACAAACGTTTCTTTTAAATAAAAGAAACGGGACCGTATTGAACCATGATTCACACAATTGTGTAGACCAGGCCCACAATATAACAATTGATAATGCATATATAGTATACAATTTAAAATAATATTTTTGTCTAAATTTGCAAAATTAATTACTTTTTTGAAATTTCATTATGTGCAGAATTTAAATATTAACTATTTCCTATGCAGAATTTAATATAAATATGGTACATTAATTATATATAATTACCTTAATTTTTTTCCTATCCATATATTTCAATCATTCCCAATTTGCTCTATCTTGACCACCAACATTATAACACTTCTATAATAGGCTTTCACTTTGTGACACGTAAATTTTATTATATCGATTTAATAAAATCTAAATTTTAATTTATTATTATATATACAGCATTTCAACGACACAAATTCCAGTACAAACTCAAGCATAGATTTTGAGCTACATAATTATCTCCTCCATTGCCATTAGCAAAATGGCCATCTTAAAACCTACGTTTTGCTTCTTTTTTGTTCTTATTTTTGCATCATCAGTTAACATATATCTTCTCTTTCACTATATTTTAGTCATTCCAATGTCTTTCTATTCTTGTATATCTAGGGTTTCCACCGTTGAACACATTAATAAATCCCCTCGCTAAATTGTATTTTATTGTATTATTTTTCACCACAATAAAGTTATCAAAACCTAGGATTTTTCTATTAAAAAAAAACTAGGGCTTATGGGTGGAAATAGTCTAACCAATTCACTTCCAACCACTTTAGAAATCCAGAATGAAATATTCTTTTAATGTTCCTATACAAGGTAGAACCTTAACAACGTTAATTAGAATGTGTGTTATTTTAGACCAAAATTATAACATTTTTTGTAAATTTAGAATTACAACATTTTTCATCAATTATATAAATCAATCTTGAAATACAGTGTGTTGAATTGCATAATCAAAATCCTTCTAATACTTAGAGGATATATAGAATATCTTATATCTATGCGATTATACCATCAATGTATACATCATCACTTATGTATGGTATACATATATATCTTGATTTTTAGGCAAGATGGCAGCGGGCGGCGGCAAGTGGTTACCAGCGAGCCCACCAGTAGAAGGAAAAAGAAGTGAAGTGGTAATACGGATGGATGCACGAATTAATGAACCAAACTGCGTTGCAAATTTGGGTCCATGCAGCATAGCGTCGTGTGATGCAACATGTTGCGAAAAGATGTGCAACAATGACTACAGTGGACTCCATCCATTAGCACAATGTACCCCAATTCCTGGGACTGCCCTTAGACTTTGCGAGTGTTGGCATGATTGTTATTAACTTCAATCAATCTTCATGGATTAAATTCTGGATGCTGGTTGTGTTAGAATTCTTATAGGTTAATGGTACTGATTATAGTTAGAACCTTGATCAGAGTTATGTAATCCCAAATCTTTACAAATTGTTCTTAAATTCTTAAGATTTCATTAATAATATATTAATATATTCCATCGTGTTTCAATTTGTATGTTTAAACTGAATATAGAAAAAAATAGATTTTTTAGTCAAGTTAATTTCATTTTTGGTCATAGATTTATAGGTGACAGTCCACTTTTAGACTTTTTTTTTTTTTTTTTTTTTAATTAGAACGTCCTCTTTTGGTCCTAGTATATATTATTGTGACATGACCAATTTTGGTACTCTATCAACAATATCGTTGAAATTTTGTTAAATATAAAGATATTTTTATCTTTTTAATACAAAGTGCGTTGACCCATTATATATTTTATGTTTATGTTTTTGAAAAAATTCATAATTGAATACTGAAATGCCCTTTTATTTAACGGCATTTAAATTGTTTTGTTGATAGAGGATAAAAAAATGGTCATGTCACAATAATACTAGGACCAAATGAGATGTTTTTAAAAAAATGACTAAAAATAGACTGCCGCCTATAAATCTATGTTTTGAATCCGGCCATACAGTAACACGCCGCGTGATGAAATTGACGATCCTCTGTATCATCATATACATCACAGAGAATCCAAATATAATCCTTGTTTCGCCTGCATTAACAGAACACAACTATGCATCCTAGAGCAGATCAATGAAGATGGCCTTGGAAGTCGAAAACAAGTTCGGTCTCGTTTAAAGAACAATTGCTAGTCCAGGAGAAACAGATCTGAGATACGCGATGTGGAAGAGATGCAACACCATAGTGTGTTCCTGGATTCTCAAATCGCTGAGCTCCAGCATTATGCAAAGTGTTCTATACTTCGAAAAAGCAGCAGATATTTGGATTAACCTTAGAAATAGGTACATACTCTCGAACTGATGATCCTCAAAGAATTGCAAAGCTTTATAATGAAATTTTCATAAACATATAAGGTAATAAGTCCATTAATGAATACTTTACAAAATGGAACGCCCTATAGGAGCAGATGATTCCTATACGAATGCATGCATAGGTGTTCAAGCACTCTTGTGAGCAAAATAAAAAAGGAATGGGAAGATGATCAAGTGATCAGATTCCTAGAGGGTCTAAATGATGGTTTTGAAACCACTAAATCTGGTGTTCTTGTCTTGGATCTAATCCCTGCTATGGGCAAAGTCTATAACATGGCTTTGAAAATTGAAAGGAAACTTAATGGCTTTATTAATCACAAAAGTAATGAATTGATTAAGTATATTGCCATTAAGAATAATGAAGTGTGGTCTGCAACTAAACAAAGTGTTGTGGTTGTATCAGGATCAAATAATAAAAGGAGATACAATAATAACAATAGTGGAAAAACTGTGCCAAAATGCACATTATGTGGTACGCTCGACCACATAATGTGTTGAAAATGTTATAAGAAGTGATAAGTGCTAATTCTTAGTACTTTTATGTGCATAATTGATATCAAACTCATATGATTTCATGTTAATTCACTACTGGAAATTATGGAATTTCCGACCACTTGAAAGTGATCTTAAATCAAATTGAAATAAAAAAGTAGTCGGAAATAGCAAGAAAGGTTTTTCCGGATACCAAAAGTGGTCGAAACAAGGCTTTCGACTTGATTTAAGATCACTTTCAGGTGATCGGAAATTCCATAATTTCCAGTAGTGATTGAAAGCTAAGTATGTGCATATTTGATTCCTTTGTGTCATTTAGGTTATTTGGAGGCATTGGTTGTAACTTCATGTAAATTGGAGCTCAATTGGTTGTGTTTTGAAGTCATCTTGACAGAAAGGCAAGTTCCGGGCGTCATTAGAGGTCAAGAAAATGAAATAAAGCGAGTGGAAGTATCACAACATGACCCGGGGACCCAAAGGAACAAATGAGATGAAGAATTATGCATTTTGAAGTGAAAAATGTGGGTCACGCTGGTGGTCACGCCGTGATTGCCAACATTATACTTTGTACTTTTTTTCTGTCAGGCGAAGTCTCGGTAATTTGAGCATATCTCGATCTAGGAGTGTCCAAATATAGTGATTCAAGTGTCATTAGAAAGGAAACTCAGAGGGCTACAACTTTCATGCAAACTACAAAGGCTAG